GCCAAAGAAAAGCCCTACAAGATGACCTGAGGGGGGCGGGGCACCTAAGATGTGCCAGTACCAATAAGATAAGCTAGCCTTTAAATCCATGCTCACATCTTCTGATGTCTCATATGTGCCCGCGTGGATTTTCTCAAGATAACAGAGTCACAGTGATGACCTTACCAAAGTCATCCACTGCTTCTGCTCAAAACCACAAAAGGGCTGCTGGTTATAAATGACAGATCTATGTCTGGTGCCAGGGCCATGGCAGGAAAAAAATTGCTTTTAATCATCCCAGCTCTCCCTGATACAGAAGACAGAAGCAAGGGATTTAGAATCTAAATCCCCTTCTCTCCCCTAGGAGTGGGACAGTTTACAGAGAACGTGAGTTCGGCTCTGAGGTCACAGAAAACATGTGTGGGCCAAGGAAACAGTGAAGAACAGTTCACAGTTAGGAGCAGCACTCAAGCAGGCGCTGAGCTCTTCACACGCAGTCTCATTTAATCCTCTGGACCCTTCCGTGTGTGATGTGTGCGGCCTGGGTTAGGGATCAGCCTACCTGGTCCCCCACTCCCAGCCAGGGAGCCTCCTTATTCATTGACAGGTCTTTGCACCCTCTGCCACACCATCATGGCTCCCTCCACAAACTAAGGGACCCCTGAAACCAGTGCCTACTGATGCAAAGCCACACTGAAATGCCCGGTAAACCCTCTGAACCCAAGCATTGTCTGGCATTCCCAATGGCAGCCAAGAGGGAGGACGGTAAAGGTGGTGGAGGAGTCTGAGGAGATTAATTCCTGGGACAGAGTCTGTCCAAAGAGAGATCAGATACGGGGCAGAGCCCTTCTCCGTGGGCTCCTATGAAGAACTAAATTTAAGCTCCTCTTTTATAAGGATCTCTTTGAAAGCTTTGGTTAGTCTATAAATGCCTCATTATCTTCGATGTATAAAACACATCTTGTCCTTTCTCCAGGGATGTGATGAAAGGAAAGTGAAATAACGTGGTGAACACACTTGCAAAGACGGGCTATTTCCAGGCAATGTGGTGCCTTCAGCATCTCTGGAAAAGCCTCAGAACCAGCAGTGCTTTGTCAGGAGACCACAGCTTCTATGGACACGCATTCTGGGATCTGCTCTCCTGCCTTCCCCATTCACTTTCTTGTGCCTGTTCCTCACGCTCTACAACTCTCCCCCTCTGCGCTTCACCACCCTTGAAGAATGAATAATAAAGTATCAACACAGAAATCCACCTCGCATCCAGCCCTGCTGTACAGAACCAGGACTGAGATGGTAAGCAGTAAGGTTTGGGTCAACTGTTCCCAGTTAGTGCTGGGCAGCACTGCAACACAGTCTTCCTCCTAAATTTTCATTCTGAAATAGAATCATGCTAAGATCTTGCAGTCCCCTGCCTCAGCCTCATTCTGGGAGGCGAAGACCTCTAGGATCACAAGTGTGTGCCTCTGAGCCTGGCTAGCTAGTCTATTGGTCACTGAAGCTGACCTTAACCACCTTCCTCTGGGGCTGGTGGCTCTGCCTCTAGAATTCTTTCCTGATGGGTCATCAGGCAAGAGGGGGAAAGGGAAAACTTGCAAAAGAATGGAAAAGCTCTCACTGTCACCTCCTGACCAAAACATGTTCTCCAACCCAGCTCTACATTTGCAAACAACACTTCTCGAAAAACTGGGTAAAATTTCAGGATTTAAACCCAGGTCTATTTCACAGGAGACTTGGACCTTTCAGCCGCAGGGTTATAGGTTAAGTGGAAATAGCTGGCTCTCTTCTCAGAAGACAAACGTAAGAACAGTGGGTAGAGGATCTGCAGAGGTAGATATTCACCCAAATAAAGGAATTTGTTGGTTTCTAAAGTTTTCTAGCTGCAGAATAAGCTACTTAATGAGTTACTAAATTCCATCCAGGTATGTAAAGTGGATATGTACATGGCATTTCCAAGAAGAAAATTGTACCACAAACTCTTATTATGTAGCTGGTCTGCAAAGATGCCATCTCACAGTGAATCATGCCTCCTGGTAGTCACATCCTTGCAGCATCCTTCTCTGTAATGAACTGGGGATGATCATAAATATCCAACAGAATGGAAAAGAACACACAGACACAGCTTTGGGGACGAAGTTACAAGGGGCACTGGGGCCTCCACTTGCGCTTCAGAGGGCTTATGCGAGGGGAGGCTAATCACCATGTGAGAAACCCCTGAGAGCACAGTGCTGTAAGGAGGCCCAGGGTAGCCATGTCTAGAGGATGCAAAAGACAGAAAGACAGCAGTGTAAAGAGACAGGGACACACACATTCATTCCATTCATCTTAGTTGAGTGCTAGACATGGCAAGAACGAAGCCATCTTGAACATCCAGCCATGTCAAGCCTTCCCAAGATTCTACCATTAGCAGCCTATGAGATTCCAACTCAGTACATTCAACCTACACATGTATGAGAAAGAAGGATAAAGTATTGATTTTGGACCCTAAGTTTTGGGCAAATGGTTTTGTAGCCACTGATAGGCAAAATACAGTCAAGATCCACATTGTCTAAAACCAGCCCCATTTGTTCTCCACCTTCTCTGACCTGATTAAGCACAACTACCTTATTGAATGAAGACAGCATTCATCAGCCTTAGGTGTCACAGGATTTAGCGTCCCCTTCTGTGGTTACCATAGCTTTCTCTTGGGAAATGGTGTCTCTACTGCAGGCGGTTTAATAGGATGGTAATCCCAAGAGACCAGCTCCCCAATCTGAGCCCAAAGGAGCCAGATAATGCCCCACCCCAACAATAAGGACTTGTATTATTTATTAATCATATTAATCATATTACCTCTTCCAGAACTTGAATCCTCTGTCAGGGACTCAAGGACAGCCGAAATGACTGAAAGTCACCTGCCACGGCAGATAAACTGATTCTGGCAATGTCTCTGCTTATGCACTTCTGAAACTGCCTAGACCCTGTTCCCTCCTGAACCTGATCTTTCTATCTTTTCAGGGAATTAGAAAAGTCCCCTCACATCCTCCCATAAAATCATCAGTTTGCTTATCTAGAGAAGGTTTCTGCTGATTTCCTCCAAAGACAGAACCTGCTGCTCCCATTGACCATGCAGGAATTTGGACATCAACTTGGTTCTCCCTCTGTCTCTCTCGCAGTGGTCTCTCCCACACCTAAGGAAACACAAAGCTACTTTTCTTCTATTTTGTAAATTAGCTCTCAAATTTCTTTCCCATCTTTGTGGTTGCTGACTTAGGCCAGAACTTCATCATTTCTTGCCTGTAACTACTAAAATTCATGTAGTCCTCCTCTCTCCCCACTAACTCTATGATTGTAACCTTTGAAATGCAAAGCCATCCTCAGACACACACATACACACACACACACACACACACACACACACACACACACACACACCTGCAGGACCCTCATTCCCATTAATATCAACTCCAACGCAGGAACCTTTTCACCCCCACTAGCTTTATAGCTCTCTCTCTCTTCACTCTCACATATACCCTGAGACATCACCAAGTTAAATTCATTGCAGTACCCTAAATAAGACCAGCCCTGCTTCTGGCTTGGGCCATTTGTGAGTGCTATTTATTTTGTTTGGAATAGGCCTTCACTCTCCTCCACCAGGGAAACAATTTCTGGTGAAGACCAGCCACCACCTTCAAGAAGCACTGGTTGGCCCCTCACACTGAGTCAAGGTGCCCTAACCAGTGCTATTGCTTAGTACAAAGGACTGACCAATGGCCTCAGGTTCATCACTCTGCACTACAGCTTGGTTTCCCCGCCTCCTGTCTTCAGTGCATATCAGCACCTTCAGGGAACCATAAGGTCTTCTCTTTAATCTCCATCAGGCACTGTGCCTGGCACACAATAGGTGCTCCAAAAGCATTTAATGAAATACTAACACAGTTACTCGAATTGCACCTGGAAGATTGTATAAGCTCATAAATATTTGTTGAATAAAATAAAGGATAAAGAAAAGAACAAATTAAATTGCCAAGATAGATAAGGATTTACATAAACAAGAAAGTCAAACAATAGGACCTTTGAAACCCTGTCTTTTTTTTTTTTTTTTTTATTTAAGAGGAACCCTGTCTTAATAGCCTTTAAAACTTCTGGCCCCATGCCACACCTACAGTTTCATCTCCTACTGCTCTTCACCTTGCTCAATCTTCTCAGCCACCACAGCATCCTTGTTTACCCCAGACTTGCCACATAAGCTTCTATCACAAGCCCTCTGTGCCTGCTTTCCCTCTTTCTGGAATTCTCCCCAACAAAAGAGCTGCATGTTTGAGTCCCTCTCCATGCCCAGGATTTTATTCTAAAACTACATCTTCACTGAGGCCTTCCCAGAGCACAGATCCTTACCCCAAACCTCTCTATTCTGTCAGTCTACTTCAGAATTTCAACCAGAATGTGTCACTGTATCGCACATTTATTTTCCTGTCCTCTCCCTCACTACACTGCAGTTCTATAATGAGGAACGTTGTCTTCTGCACTGTTCTGTACGTGAAATCCAAAAGAACGTTAACAGAGCATCTGCCTGATGCATCTGTGCTGGATGATTATTGAACAAGGTCTGTGACTCTTTATATCTTATTTCACGGGAAGGTATGAGCAAGAGACAGGGCACTTTGCAGCACAGCGTCTGACATTTGGGAGCAGAGCGGGCACTGCTGCATCTGGCATCACGGACCAAGTCCCCCAACACCAACTGCAAACCATTTCCTGGGCTCCGCCAAACCACCTGCCTCACAGTAGCTGCTGGCACTTTGCCCTCTCAATATTCTCATTTACTGGTTTCTTCCTAGGCTACCTGATCTTCAGCTGACCTCGGCTGGTCACAGTCTAATAGAGGTTGTGCCCACCCTGTGCTCTACCTCATCCCAGCACCTAGATAGTTCTGCCCTCATCAACCCATCCCAGCCAAGATGCCCCATTCAAAAACCTAGCGAAAAGCCCACACCACTCTCCCAACTATCTCCTCACAATGGGATCATGAGATTAGAACTTACTCGGCATTCCTGACAGCTCTTGGTTAATATCCGCTGGCCTTCTGTAAGAACTTTCCCACCATAGATGCATTTTGCTGTAATAAAACAGAAAAATAGATCAGCTAGTCATGTGATGTAACCACATCATCTCTGAGGTACCATCCAGCTCCAATAGACTCCACCAAAGCAGATTCTCAGCCTCCAAGCAGTGCAGATCTCTTTGTCTACAGAACAGCATGAGAATACTGTAGGGCCCCCTTATGGATCCCTACTGTGACAAACCTCATCCTGACTCAGTTTCCATTGCCTGCACACCAAGAGCCTGCAGTTCCATCGATGTTGCAGTTGCCAAAGAAACAAGAGGATGGACTGGTATGGGAAGAGGTTAAAAGGGGGAAGAGCTAGCTGCCATCACCTAGGGTATAGTTAAGAGTTCTGACTCAGACACTCCAGCTGTGGAATAAGCACCTGAGTGAAAGAGCCTCATGTATCTTCCGCCTATCAGAATTACGGCTGCAGTGGGTGAGAACGTTGTTTATTTTCTTGTGATCATGGAAGGCAGCTGTCCTTAGGGCTATCCTGAGGGCTATCTGTTCGTAAGCCCTCAAACAACAGAGAAACACACCCAGTCCAGTACATTGCTACATCAGTGTACCAAACAGACCACTTGTGGAAAGGCGAGCTTGCCAGGCTAATAGAGACGGCAGGGATGGAAGTAAGCCTTGCAGGAAATTTCAGAGCGAAGTGTAAGTGCAACTTCAATTTAGATTCCACTGGGGTTCTGTTCATGATTTAAGTTGCTGACTTGAATCAAGCAGGTACAGAATATGTCAGTTTGATCTGACCCTGATGTGACTTCACCAAATTCTACAGCCAGTGCAAGAGGAGCAAAGAAGTCAAGACCTGATTGATCCCCTTCCTGCCCCAAGGAGGACCATTTCTAGCTCGTGCTCTTAGGAGACATTTATTCTGACAGCTCGCTTCCCACTAACAAACAACCTCAGGCTCAGAACCTCTATTTCTGTAAACAGGTTTAAAATGGATTGGTTATGCTGGGTAGCTCTCTAGTTCTAACACTGTCTCATTGTCATGGAATGTTCCAGTATGTAGAACTTTAGTAATCAGCTGTTCCAACCCCTTCTTGTCATCCAAAGGAGGAGGAAAGTCAGCGACTAACTAAACTCTAGACCTCTGCGGTGGATACCCAGATGAGCTACTCAAAGCCCCTCCATGACCAAAAGACATATTCTTGCCACTGTGGGACCAGCTGGCAACCAGCAGATCTCAGCTACCTACTCAGGACTTGTCCTGGGCTGGAGAGAGCACCTTGCTCAAGGTCAAGTGGCCTTCTGTGGGCAGAAGTGTTTGAAGAAAGCCTGGCAGAGTCCTTACCCCACTGCCTCAAGTCATGATAAGTCTGAATGAAAAGCAATTTCCAGTTGTGAAATCCCCTGCAGGAGCAGCTGGGGAACCTGTTCTACTACTTTGAAATTCAACTTGTCCGTCTGTCCATCTGCCTTTTCATTACCACCTCCATCCTGCCCTAGAGCTGATCCTGGAAGCACTTTCTAATAAAGCACAAGCAAATCTCCATTTCAGAGTCTGTTGCCCCTCAGAGTCTGACCTGCAAAAGCCCAGGACAGAACACAAACGTATTTCACTCTGTTCTTTCCTTTCAGAGAATGGTATCAGCAACAGCCTTGACCTCCATACCTCCGGTCCTTCTAACTTCTGCCTTTATTCAGCTATGTGTCAGTCAGTGCCCACACGCTAACCACGCTCCCTCCGTAAGTTTCACCATGCGAGTTACTTTCTCCACTTCCCAGACACTGTCCTCACTCAGCCATCATCAGCTCTGTGTTAGTGTCACAGGGCCTCCTGGCTCCCCTGTGCTCCAGCCTCAATCTTCCTCAGTCCTTCCTCATACAACAGCCAGGTGCATGTTCTCTACGTGTAATATGAGGTCCTCCTTAAAAAGCATTAGGCGGCCCCCATGCCTTAGAGATAAAGCCAAATTCCTCTCTGCACACAAGGCCATTCTTGTGGCTTTTCTCTCCTTCTCAAACCTCAGAGTTCACCAATTCCTGTACTTTTGCTCACCTTCCTGGTACAGTTACACCACCTCACCTGCTCCAGCCACTCTGTCCCTCTCTCTTCCAGCTAAACATATGATTTTCTGCAAGAATGAGCAGCCTGGCTTACTGCAGTGCCAGCCTCCCAGCCTCTACACCTTCGAGCCCCGGGGAAGCCCTCACTTCCCCAGGAAGCTGCTCCTGCTCCTGACCAGGGCTTAGCTGCCCTCCCTGTGCCCAGGCTCTACTAATTGGGGACCCCTAATGGACTCTGCCTTACAGCACATCTTAATCGCATGTGTAATCACGCAGCTCCCTGCTATCTGTAACTGCCCGAAGGGAAGGAGCTTTAATATAACTTCAACCATTAAATGTAGATTCCAAAGATTTCAGTGGGGGAAGGCGACCGACAAAGGAAAATCAGTACGATTCTCAAAATGGGCCTTTTCCTCTCTGTGTTTAATATATATATATATATATATTTTTTTTTTTTCCATACACACATACTTCCCTGATCACCTTCTATGCCTTAATTTTCTAGATACAGCAATAGACCAAGGCTCATTGGTCTTAATGATGATCTATCTGGACTTCCCAACTTTACCTGCATAGAGAGGCCATATCTCCAGGGGCCTGTCTGATAAATTCCCACACTCCCACACACAGCTGCTCCAGCATGGCAAGGTGGCCCGCGCCAAAGTGACAGCTCTGCTAAGTGCTCTGCTGTCACATCTGCAATCGCGTGCTAGCCCAGGCTAGAAAGTGCAGAAGCAGGTTTTTTCTTCCCACTTTGCCCCCTGCCACCCCCGCAATGTCATTAGCACTCTTTAGACCCAGTTTGAAAGTGTCTACCTGACTTCTTTCTTCCTGTTTGACAGACTAACCCTGGAACTCTTTTGTGGAAGTAAGGATGCCTTGCTGTTTGCAGCCTCACCTCACTCAGGGACACATCCACCCCCCAAATCCACTGGTCTGGTATAAAAATTACAAGTCCACTGAGCTTTGCACCCTCACATAGCAGGATGTCTGGGTCCTGGCAAATGCTACAAACACATTCCTTCATTCCTGTCATTTGTGCGCCTAGCAATGACACAAAATGTACGTATGATTAGGACACCAAGTATCCTTACAGTTACTAGTTCACCCCAGCGATCACCCCTGAATCCCCCTTATTCTCTCAGTCTCACCCTGATTTCTCTGACAGCCCCTCCCCTTCCTGTGACTCCCTTCCCTATGCCTAACATCAGTCCTCATTACCCAGCATCTTGATCTACAGCCCAAAGGCTTATTTTTGATGTCTGAGGAAATTCAAACATAAGATGGGTCAGGCTCTGGTACCCTTGGCTGGGCCACCTGGGACTTCATTTCCACAGGTTTTGGGGCAGGTAGAAATGTAGATGGATACCTGAAGCCTGTCATACCACACCTGTGACATGCAAAGTAGAATATGTCACAGTGTCCAACCATGAAATTGAAACCTGCCATCAACACACACTTCTGCAGGATGTCAGAAATAAATAGGCCCAGGATATAGAGAGTCACGCAGTTGTGTTTTCCTGCATCACTATCACCTGGCCCTCCAAATTTGACATTTATTTCTCTCTCAAGTGCAAGGATTGAACACTTTTGACATTTGGGTGCACACTGAATACAGGACTGAAGGGCACAGCCTGACGCCCCTGTCAGGTGTGGCTGTGATGTGGCTGGGTCTTAGATATCTGCACACACTCCAGCCATCCCTCAGCACTCCGCAGTATAGACATTTAACTCAGGCCCCTGCTTCACACTTTAAAGGAGAGTGGCAGATCAGAGAAGCTGAGCACCCAGGGATTCTTCCTCCCTAGGCAGCTAATTCACAGCTCAGGCTTCAAACAAGAAGTTTGAAGCAAGAAGTTCAAATCAAACCGGTTGTCCCTCTGCCACCTCCAGTGCAAATGTGCCACATAAAATGTGCCAGTCCACAACCTACTTCCTCCCCTGCCTTGTTTCTGTTAATCACACCATGAGTCTCCCACAAGATGTTGTTCAAAACCTGGCAATCTTTGCCTCACAGATGCTCACACAAAACAGTGCTACTGTGTGCCAGGTCCTTCAGCTGTCACTCACATTCCTCTCTTCCTTTGCACCTCCCCAGGCTGCCTGCCTTCCAGCCTCTTCACCTCTGCCCGCAATGTACCCAAATTCAACACCACCCCACCCCCAGTCCCCTGCTCTCTTGATGTGGTGGTCTTTCTGAAAGCACTTTTTTTAGGAGGCCAAAGCCCTGCTACAAAACCTTGCTCTTAAGTACCAAATCCAATTCTGTGCTATTTCCAGGATTTTGCATGTGTGATTCCCTCTGGCAGGTTGTTTTACCTTGTGTGCCTAGCAGATTCCCACTTACCTTCTGATACTTTCCTGAGCTGCTATCCTTGAAGTTTACCCCACCCTCCTCATACACAAGTTTCTGATGAAGTTACCTGTTTCCTTCTCTGCCATTTTTGATGATGACAGAGATGATGCAGGCAGTGAGTAGAACGGATAGGTTAAGAGCATCAGCCAGATGGCAGCTGGATTGTCCGGGTTACCAGTGCTGAGAGCCTGGCACTTCTCTCTCTCCCCTAAACAATGGTACTAATAGTGAGGACTACCACTTGGGCTTACTGAGAGGATTAGGTGAATGAATATATAGAAAATGACTTGTTCAGTCCTGATGTAGAATGGAAGACTGACTCATCAACACTGTTTCATCCAGAGTTGAGGGCAGTGTTTGGGACAAGTGATCTCAGCAAGGATTAACAAGAGTCACCAACAGAATTCAGTCCTTATCATTCATTTTCGACACACACTGGCAGCTTAATTTCTGCCACGTTCCCATAAACGCCATCAGGCAAACAGTCTCTCTCTCCCTGCACTACTCCTTTTCCTTCACAAATAATGTGTTGCAGAGCTGAAAGATTCTTTCTCCCTCCTCGCTCTCATTTCTGGCAGATCTCAAACACAGCTTCCAAATCAATACAGGTTTCAATACAGCTTTCAGTAGACTGCTGCCTGCAGACTCTGATTCAGCAAGTCTAAGGAGGGTTCTGAAAACCCACAATTTATGAAGCTCACCAAGGGGTGTTTAATGTGAAGCATTCTCAGTACGCCTTGGGGAGAGCAGATATCAACAAATAGATAGGAGTGGAACAGGACAGTCACTTCCTAGACCACCCTGGATGCTCAGACAAAGTCCTTTTCTGTTTCCAAACAGAAGCTCTCATCTGCAAGTGCTCCAGCTCCTCAGACTGTTCCAAACAAACGAAGACAGAGGAAGTCAGTAGACAAAGCAATCCGCTTTCACAGATTGGCTCCTGTTGTCTGAGTCACATCAGCACCTTTCACCTGTGGTCCCTAGAATAAGGCCTCATCCAAACCAAATTCAGGAAACTCACAGAAAAGAAAAACACTGTTCACATATAAGACATTTCCTTAAGGCAGTTCTCCAAATAAATGGAAAAACTCAAAACAAAAGTTATGGTTTAGATGTAGGAGTCCCCCTAGACTCTCATGAGTACAGACATGTGGCTTTGGAAAGCAATCAGAAGACAGCCATGCTATACTAACAACTGGACAGATCCATGAATGAGCGAAGTGTGCTGTGAGGAGTCGGGCCTGGGGGAGAGGTGTGCCCATGGGGCATGCCTCTGAGGAGTCTGACTCCCTCCCTCTCCCTCTCTTCCTGGCCACCATAGCTTCAGTATCTTTTCCTCCACCAAGTCCCTCTGCCATCTTGTTCTGTATGAGAACTACCATGGACCATGGACCAAAACCACCAGACAAATCAAACCTCTCTTCCTTTAAGTCATGGGTGTCAGGGATTGTGTCTCATTGACAGAAAGGTGACAGTGACAGCAAGGAATTGAACCAAAGGAAGGTATGGTACACAGTAAAGAGTGGCTTTAACCATATCTAATAACATTAAACATGAATGGATGAAAGGACCCAAAGGAAACAAAACAATCCATATTGTCAAAACAGATTTAAAAATAGGATCCACGTGCCCATTCATATAAGATGCACCTTGAACTTCATCCCAAAATGTCCAGCTAAGACCCCTCCTTACAAAAAGAATCTAGCCAGAACCTCAGAATACAAAACAGAATTTCCTCCTTCACTTGATTCTTCAAAATTAGGAGGTGAGGTACAGGGAACCCTGGAGTTGTTTAGTGATTACACCCACCCCATTGAGTGACCCTGCACAAGTGCCTGGATCCCTGTGAACACAAGCCATCTTTACACAGAAAGAGAGAGTAGTAATGAAGGTTCATGCAAGGAGCCTCTGAAGAAAGTACAAAACCATCTAAAGTATCTGCCGCGTCACAAGTGACTAAAATATCGCAGTGCTTCTCATTATACACTTGATATTACATCAACAGCAGGCACTTTGTTCCACGGTCAATGGATTGGGACCTGAAAAGCAGAAAAACATCTGAAAGCACTGAGCTTCCCACACTGAACCCCGGCTAGGACTTACATTGGCAGACCTTACAGCACTGACCAGTGATGTGCACAGGGAGGGCGTCGGGGGAGCAGTTGAGAGGGGGACAGGACATCCGCCGGCACTCCACAACACCGCTCTGAGGAAGGAAGGACAAAGGGTATCTCAGAGGCAGGCTTTAAACACTCGTGCTGCAGAGAGAGCTCCAATCTCACCCCCAAACCTCACCAGGGAAAGAGACGAGTGTGAGGAGCACCCACTCCACTCCAGGAACACAAAAAAAGCATCTCTCCAACCCAAAAGAACCCGTGTCACCTCAATTACTTTTCTGATATACATCACTGACTTCATCTCACCTGCCCATGTGGACTAAGCAGGTTAGGCAGAAAACAAAAAGCCTATTTTTACACCAACATAAATAACACCTTTTGCAGACCCTGTCAATCATTTCTGAGGCTCTAACAATCCATTTTGTATTTTCCTGGACAAACAATAGCAGTCTTCAGATATTTATCAAGTAATTCTAACTGGACAAAGCTTGAATGCTAATTTTAGAGGGAGCTCTCGTAACTGTCTGAAATAGGTGGAGTACACAAATGATGGACACCAGGGAGGGAGGAAAACATCCTGCAGTTCTCTGAAACAAATGACAGATACCGTGCAAAACACAACAAAAACCCACAGAGACTAATTAAATCCTGTTCAAAAATGCGTTCTAGAAAATGCGTTCTAGCTGAGAAAACTTGTGATAAAGCTAACAATGAGGATGTATGAAAACCAAAAGAGTCTCTTCCCCTCTATATCTCAACTTCTAAATTCCAAACAGGAAGCTTCTTACTAATATTATAGGATCAAATCAAAATGTAGTGAGAAAAACCAGATTTAACTCCCAAGAATTATGATAACAAATGACAATTTTTCAGCACACATAATTGCTTGAATTGCTAAGGGATGGTACATTGAAAGGAACTGACATTGTATATTAAAGAACTCAATAACACTATAATTAGAATGTCTATCCCCTTAAAACTGGTTTTATCTTACTCATCTCCAAAGGTACTTACTTTGCATGAGCAGTTTCTACAATGATCACCATCAACCCAAGAATCTTGGTCCCGATAGAGCAATCCACTCACTTGACAGGTCTTCTCACAGTGACAGTTTTCCAGCTGACTAAGTCTTGTCTCTGCATGATTCAGCTGCAGAAGCAGAGTTACAGAGTGTCATCTGTGTAATTCAGTCATCCTAACAAAGCAATAACAAGGAAAAAACTATCCAAACAGGAAGAGGGCGACAGTAAAATGTTCAAAAGAGTTCCACAGATTCTTAGCAAGATCTATTTTTGGTTTTTCATTTTTTCCTTAAACACAAAGTTGAACCTCTGAAAACTGAAGACACGCTGACTGGCATGGTCTATTGAACACCAAGTGAGACATGGAAGTGTATCTCAGGAAACTCGTGGATGTTCAGAAGGGTGTGTGTGCTTTCAGTTCAAGCCTACACGGAAACCCACTAATAAAAGCCTTACTACAGCATTCATTGGAGATCTAACAAGAACTCAAATGCCCTTGTATTCCTCATCTACCATAGTCTTCCTGTTACACACTAACCACAGTGCAATTAGGATATCGATGGTTTACACACTTAGGATATCGATGGTTCCTCTCCAATATAAAATTCTAGGGAGCAGGGGCCAGAGGAAAAAAAATCATAGAGAGATCTAGTTTTTCCCTGGGTAATTCACCCCAAATAGACCAGATCACAAACAAGGGATTCACCAAGATATTCAGGAAAGATCAGATGAGGTGAGGAAAACCTTAACTGAGATCTGAATTTTGTAAAATAATCTTTTCCTTTTTTCTAGGCCACTCAATCATTGCCACTAAGTACAGAGTCTTAGAATCTCCAATTTCAAAGACATTATAAAGCTTGGGTACCCTCAAAAGAAACTCATCACAGTGCTGATTCACTTCCACAAATCCAGGGGTGGAACTCTTACTACCCCCTAGGAAACCCACGTCTTGTGGTAGTTGTTGGATCTGGATATTTGGAACAACTCTTTGGTTTAAGATGTGAAATCTCTGCCTTTTTCCTCCTGGGTTAATTTGGCATGTAACCCATACTGAGCAAGTCTAATCTCCCAACATTTGAGGTTCTTCTAGCATTGCATTGGTGCTTGACCACATCAGTACCACCAGATTTCTTTAACAGCTCCTTACGGTACAGTTCCAGTCCTCTCTACTGATTGCTTTCATTTGGCCTGTGTCAGTCTGTGTTCACAAACATGGCACAGGATTCGGATGTGCTTCATCAGAGAGCTTCCCCACGAGCACAAGGCCCTGGGATCAATTCACAACACCACAAGAACAAAGAAAATACAATGCAAACAGAGTCTCAATATAGAAAGTTTTTTGGCCTAAGATACTTGTTGCCACAGACATGCTATAGTGTAATTCAGCCCAAGAGCAATATCACTTTTCTCTCTTTTCCCTTACATCAGACTGCCATGATTAGGAAACAAATTCCATTTCCTACTAATTCATCTTCTGGTTTCTCTTTTCCTTCTCAGTCACAGCATATGCATTCATATCTGGAGTCTTTCTCCCATATAGGAAACTGATTCAGTCTCTAAACCCCCCAAATTATTTGGAGCCATTATGTTAGATTGCAATGGGTGCACCTCAGGAACAGTGACTCCCACCAACCTTTCTGGGTGAGACATAGTCTCATGCTCCCCGTTTCCCTCTCAGTGACTCATGACAGTGCTCTGCTCCATGTGTCATTCCAACTTTCAGACCAGTCATTCATCTCCTCTTCTTCCCCAAGCTTTTGGAGTATTTCAGGGAAATCTGGCCATTGCCTGTCTTTTGTGGATAGTATCAAAGGCAGAGAAAATTTGTGCAACAAAACACACGCATCATGATCAGCCCCAGAAGAGTGAAGGATTGACTACTTAAACATCAGCAGCTTCCCATGGCTCCTTTTAATATGTAGGTTCTTCCCAAAATTAATGTTTCATGTAAAACTCCAGCCTCATTATAGAGTTCCTGGAATCTGTGCTAATTAAGATCTTTAAGAATTCTTTAGGAAACACAGATAAAATACATTACCAAGACTTTGCCAAGGTCAAGTGACCAAACCACATACAGGTCAGAGACAATAAAAAGGAAACAGCAACTCATTCCTTATTATCTTTTCTTCACTGCTAGAAGCCTGAGTAGTTCCTAGTAAGGTTACTGCTTGACCGAGGACGGAGCAAAAAGAGGCTGAACCAGATCTCCACACATCCTTAAAAGTGGCTCAGAATATGTACCTGCTTGGGAGAGAAGAATCCCTACCTTATTCTGAAAACCTGGAGCAACTCTGATACTCATATCATTCCCAGAACGAAACACCAGAAAGACTCAATGACTCAAAAGGCAATTCTTCCTCTATCCTGAAAACCTAGGCTCTTGCCTAAGGTGAATATTGGCAATTGTCAAGACTGGTCCATCAAAGCTGAGCTATGTTCATCTATAACTCAATTCCTGAGGAACACCACAGTTTAACGTAATGGATTTTAAAATTTTACACGTATTTAGCTTTTGTGACAATACTGAAAAACCTTAATCTCTAGAATAATATCTATGTCAGACAGATACAGAGGCAAAAGCATATTAAGGCAAAAAACTAATTTTTCAAAGGCATTTAATATGCAATCTTGCCTTGCTTTCCCACCTGCTAAATCCTGTAACAACAATGATAGAGAAAAACAACTCTGAAACAAAAGCTGAATTACACTTTCTGTCACTGGCATGAGTGCATTGAATTCATACTAATTCATTTTCAAAAGCTGTTTCTACATTGCCTGCCATTTTCTGGGACTGACAGGTCCAAAAAAGATATGGTATCAAATCTACATCTCTGCTCTGTTTACCTTTGTCCCGTGTTTATCTGGAAGCCAGGGACTGAATACTTATTCTTCACTCTCCACCTTCAAAGCTACGGACAGGCGGCCTCTTGCACAGTAAGAGGACAGTGAATGGATCTGAGTGTATCAGTCATGCAGACATTGCATTTCCTCCTTTGGAATATGCTTTATTTCATGTTTGCTATGTAGAAGGGGAAAACACTGCTGCTGCTGCTGTTGGTAAACCTTTAAGTTTAATCAAACAATCATTATTGAGCTGTGACTGAGCCCTCCAAAATAATGGAAATCTCAAGATTAAATATGTTAAAGCTGAAAAGCCTGCTGCTCGAAGTGCTCCTTGACTTGCCCATATAGATTTATCAAAGATTTACACACGACAAGAATGTAAAACTTTCCAGTCTCTCATGTGCCCTCTTTCTGAGTTTGAGGGCACAATGCCATTTCAGCACAGCTGGGTCCAGGAGTGAGACCTGATCACCTAGGCTACCACAGTCCTCCTGGCTGGCAGGGGGACAGCTCGGCTACCTAAGGGAATGTCAGAGTAAACTGGTGGAGCGGTAGTCTCTGGGGGATTAAATTGTCAGCTAACAACCTCAGACACATTGCTACTTTAGGTCATTGTCCTGCACCTTCTCAGCACTGAAGGGGTGTAGTTTTTGTCAAAAAAGTCAGGCTTTCTCAAAAGGCCTTGTCCTAGCCTCACCTCTGGCACTGGAATATCAGTGAATGGGAACCGGCATCCTTGACCCTTACAGAAAAAGGCAGAGTGGGCAATTCTAGACACATTCCTGGACTGATAGGACATTTCTATCTGTTACTTTTGTTTGTTTGTTTGAGACCAGGCTTCAGTATGCAGTTCAGGCTACCCTTGAACTCACTTTGAGGCCCGTGCCGGCCTTGAACTCACAGCAAGTCTCCTGCCTCAGTCTCCCAAGTACTGGGACTGCAAGCCTGTGTCACCACATTCAGCTTCTATCTTTAGGTTTGACGTGGTTCTGGCTGCCGACTCCTGTCCAGCCTGCACCCTGAGCTTGCTTACCAGTAGTGCTTCACGATGTCCAGCAGGACTCAAGCCTGAGGGCTTTCTGCTGTTTCCTGAGACTTCTCCGCACTGGTTCTAGACCAAGTCCCTGACAACAACTTGCAGTCTCTGCCAATCTGTGTGATGCCAAGCCACAGGAAAGAGCACAATTTCCCAGGACCATCTTTCCTTCACACTCTCCCTTCTGTGTCCTCAGTTCAGTATTATAAACACAGCAGCCACCCGCTGGCCAATGGCTGTGGTGAGTCTTGTACAGAATTTCATTTGCCTGATCCCGAGTAAATGGTAATCACCACTTTCTGTGTGAAGAGGTGGCAGCTACCAATTCAACAACTTGTCTAAGGCTGTGACATTAAAACACACAATCGTAAAAAGAGGTCTCTAAATCAGACCTGACTGGCTCCAAAGCCCATTCCCTACCTCCATCAGGATCCATGACTGCACGCCTACCTCAGTCAAGGCTACCCGACAACTTACCAAACTTCCGACACCCAGCTCCACCCCATCATCTCAATCTTGCCTCCATAGCTTTACCTAACTAATGGCAGGGCTAAGTCCAGAAGGACTCGGTGCCATAAAGTTCCCTCTCCACCAGGAAACCGTGTTTGGCTTGCACTGTGCCTCACATCTCCAGCTCTGCAGCCTTTGATCTGTGAAAAGGGTGAGCTATGTAGACAGCAGAAAGTGTGTCACCAACTAACTGAGCAAAATACCACATTCAGTATGCAAACAGAAACTTCCTGAAAGCATCACAGAGCCAACACGAAAGGAGGAACAGCACAGAGGTCAACAGAAGGTGGCAGCAGAGATGCCAAGAGCCAAGCAAGCACCAAAGCCCACCTCCATCCTGCCCATAAGCTTTTTTCTTGAAGACTGTGCAGATGAGGGGAGCAGACTCAAAAGAGATCAGCCCAAGAGCTGGGTCTTAAAAGAAGCTCCCACAGGAAAGTGGGGGACTCCCAGACTGTACCCTGTTTTAACGTTAACACAAAGGAGATAAGCCTTGCACAAAGCACAGAGAGAACCTTTTCTGTTCAGGTCTGAGCACCAGCTACAGCGGGGGCAGGAGGCTGGGTGGAATCCTCCCTCAGAATTCTTAAATGTTCTTCCCTGAGGAGTCATATGCCTCTCCCAGGTTTGAGGACTGATTCTCAGCAGTCAGATGACACAGTGCGTGGTGTGCCCAAGTGGAACTGGCAAGAGCACACCCAGTGTCACCCAAGACTACAGACCTCCCACAGCTTTCCAAGGTAAACAAGCAGCTCAGAGCCAAAAGGCGAGGTGCAAGTCCTTCTTCCCGGACTCTCCTTCCTGAGGAGCTGCTGCCAGCTCTGTGCTCACTCCCAAAGGGAGTCACTGAAATCTAGCTCAGCTCCACAAGCCATCACACAGGCGCTGCTCTTTGCCTGTTTTATTTGCTCATTCCTCTGATCTCCAGCCTCGTGTTACTACAGCCACCTCCTTCCCGCTATAGTTACCTCCTTCCCTCTACAGTTAGCAGCACTTTATGGATTCTAACTTTCTTTCTAATCCCTCTTTTTTTCACCCATAAACTTTCTCCGTCACATCAGTTTTCAGAACCTTAGTACCTGAGTTCAGGTCCTGGCTCTGCTATTTACAATCCTGTAGAAAGTGACCTTTCCGGGCCATGGTCTTCTCAAAGGAGCACAATAAACTCAGCTTACAAGATTATTGTGAGAATTGATTTAAAATCCTTAGGGGTTGGAACTAACACATACAAAATGTTCAATAAGTATGGCTCGTTTGAGAGGACTTTCCAGTTCCTTCTAGATCAAAGATTGACAAACTGAAGCTCCTGGTCCCAGTCTGGTTTATCACTTGCTTCTGAACATCCTGTGAGCTAAGAATAGTTTTTATGTTTTTCAATGATTATGTTTTCACCAATTATAAATAATTTCATTTAAATGAAATAGTTACACACATAATATGCTCAATTTTGCTACTTAACTTAAAAAGCCCAGTGTTTACTGGCAGGCTATTTCCGGAAAAAAAAATTTTTTTTTTACAATTCCTGCTTGGGATTACCACAGATTACACATTATGTAGTGCAAATCGAAGTACTTGGTGACAGAATTACAATTCTCTTCACAGTTTGGAAGGAACAGACTCCAAGTCTGCCAAAATGCCAGGGGGAGGAAGGTGGGGTTCAGGAAGCAGATTAAACCATCTTCTGCTCCCTGTGTCCCACAATTAAATACTCTCTGCCTCCCCAGTGCCCATTTTATATTATAGTGCTCTGAGGACAGAGCTCACTGCAGCTCCTAGGTAATGCACAGCTAAAAGAGAAAAATGGCTGCCCGCAAAGACAAAGAAAAGGGCATCCTCAGAGCCTGCGGAGACCCTAAATTGCCTGAGACTGAGTGGCATGTTTCTAGTTTCAAAAATCTGTAGCATGCTAAAATATAACTAACAGTATCAAGATCGGCTGCTCCAGACAATGTAAATAAAAGCCTCCACAAGGCACAGGCTGGGAGGGCGGACACCTGCCCGCCTTCACATTTCTCCAGTGCTGTGCAGTGAAGGCAGATGCTTCAGACTCATGCTCTAGACTCCATCTTTCTCTTTGCAAAAATATCCCATTTCTACCTCCCAGACAAAAGGGGACTGGGTTTGACCAAAATTCCAGTTCTAGGTGAAAACACTGTCTTCAGGGGCGGAGCCCATGAATCCCTCACACAGCCTTGTCTCCCAATCACTGGGCGACCCTCTGAGTATTGTCTGCCTGCCCTGCCTGAAGGGAGAAGGCAGTCACAGCACCAAGTAGAAGAGAATAAATGCGTCATCTTTGCTACTATTAAAATTCTTCCTCTGGCAGAGTACAACATCTCTTAGGCTCACCCTAATTCTCTCTTCACCCTAGGCCAAACCCACATCCATAGCTAATTGGTATCCTAACAACATCAGCCATATTCTCTATTTTATAAAAATGCATTTCTTAACTTAAGACTCAGGGTTTTCATCAGGAATCTACACCGCATGAACAGACACTAGAGCTTCTAATTGTTAAATTTTGGCTCCGCTATTCCATGCAGCCACTTCTGCAGCAGAAGTCAGGTCTTGCTCATCAATGCACCTCGAAGCCTAACACAGTGACTGGCAGATAGAAGTTTCTCCCAAGATGTTTGCTCTGTGAGTGATGGAGAGGAAGAAAAGATGCCGTATCTTAAGGCTGAAAGTGTCAAAAGGCAAATGCTGTTTCTTCCTTGTTCAACTTAGGATCAGTCGTGAAACAAAGCCTAGGAGAGGTCTTCCTAGGACAGTGATCTGATTCTAAGGACAGCTAGTTTACCTCCTCCTGGTTTGTGGCAATAACTCATATCTAAAATGCATTAGCGTTTTGTAAGCAGCAGTGGCTCTAACCATGTATTATCTTACAATGTTTCCTGTTTAATAGCCTTTGGGCAAATTCTTTTCCTCTCCTAGGGAATCTACACTAATACAGATTGCCTCTTGCTTCCTAATATTTTTCAAGAACAACATTTATATCCAGCCTAATAGCATCAATGGCCTGAATGCTTACTAGAGGAAGTCCCATTTCAGCAGAAAATAAAATATTCTTGCTGTAACATATCGCAGGTGCCAAGGCTAAAAATGTTTCCATTATGACAGATCACTGTTAGCTCTCGATATGACAGAGAAAGAAATGAACATCACAAGTGAAATTCAGATACCTACTTTTGTGGTCATCTTGGCCAAAAGCTCTTGTAAATCCATGATTCCTTGCACCAGGCTTAAGAAATCACTGCAGGTAGGGCAAGCTCAATGAAGAAAATAAAAAATATATATTGATCTTGTGCTAATGTAAGAAAAAACTTTTTAAAACATCTTAACCACTTTTGATGGTAGGAGGGTTTCTGTTCTTTTGGATAAAATCTGGATGAAGTCAGAGAGGATTTCGGGCTTTTTCTTTTTCTTTTTTCATAAGAAAAAGAAAGAAACAGGAAAAAGGGTCCGTTGACTAAAAAGGCCACATGACATTTCAAAATCAAACCCTCATTTTGATAGAGAGGTAACGGGAAAAAATATAGTTTTATAAGAGAGAAAAAGTGAGTTCATATCCAGGTCCAGAAGTTTAAAGAACAGTTTGGTGTAATAGTAATATTTAAAACACACACATATACAAAACACTGAATGTCTTAGTTACTTTTTACTCGTCGCTGAGACCAAATACCTGAAGCCCAAGTTGGGAAAGGAAAGATTTATTTCTTACAGCTTTTTGGAGGTTTCAGTCCACACTCAGTTGGCTCCAAGACAGGCAGGAATGGCTGGGCTGCAGTTCATGGCGGCCGCCAACAATAAACTCGAACCAGCAAAAAGAGAAAGACACACCTTCTTCCTGCCATTACATCACATCCTGGCCCCACCCCTATGTGGGTGGAGCACTGACACCATCAATCCAAGCACTATACAATGAACCATCACATATGAACAATGCAAACTCATGAGGCCTGGGGGACACAAACATAAACCATGACACAGAACATATCTGTCTTACATAGAACCTGTTAACACAACCCTTTTCCTGGATCCAAATGTTAATGCTGTATAGAAGAAAATCTTCTTGAAACTTCACAAACACAGGGGCTGAGGATTTAGCTCAGCAGCATAAGCACCTGCCATCTAAGTGTGTGGTCATGAGTTTGATCCGTGGTACTGATTTAAAAAAAAAAAAAAAAAAAAAAACACTTCACAGACACAGAAGCACACAGTACAGATAACGAGTTTTCTTCCAGGACCCTCACTCCTCACAGTCCGAGAAGCCAGCACTGGCTTCTACCTGAGCCCTCCTGAGGTTGTTTCTCTGATCCCATGAGCAAGCTTTGTACCATTTAAAACTCTACAAGTGCTTCAGGTGCTACTTACTGCGATTGAGGTTAGGACACTGTGTTATGTACCAATTCGGCATGAAGATGATTTTTCCGTCCTGGATGACACCCTTGATGGAGAAGAGACAAGTGGTAACCATGAGCCCAGTCACAGCTCCAGAGGCCCTGTGCAGCCTGCAGCCCTGGAGGTCGGACTACTGTTCAGCACGACTGATTCCCTCACAAGTGGAGCTGACCTCTCCCACGCTGAGCCACCCAAAATCATTCTCCTCTAGACACTCTGAGCCAGGGTTGCATGGTGAGAAAGCCATCATCAGCTGGCACTGTTTAATTCCAAAGAGGTCACAGCACCCAGATCTGTCAATGAGACAGTCTTCAACTAAAACTAAGCAGACACTGGTGCAGTTAACATTCTCTTCGCTGCCTTAATCATGCCGGTATATGAAATATTGCTGAATTACAGGACTTCTGCTTTAAAGTGGGAAGACAGACATAACAGTCTGAAATGTTTTCATTGACTCATTTAGTCAAGGAAACAAAAATTAGTCCTCAGAACAATTCCTAATGATCTCCTTCCTCAACTGGGTCCTTGGAGTTGAGTCTTTAGATTTGCTCAAGCTCTCTGAGAAAAAGGTGCTCTCATAATGCTGTATTTCATCTGGAAGGGAAGGGTACCCACACTTTAAGAAAGCCATCGGGAACAGCTTCTCTCAGTGAAAAAACTGACTTTGGATCTGGATATTTCATGTTAAATTTAAGATTCTGTTTCTAGGGTTTTTTTTTCTTGATTTGATAGAAGAGATATCACAGAACAGAGGGAAGATGCAGAAGCTGGCTCAGAATACGGAGCTTAATCTATAAATAAAATAGGGGCTTCAGACAGTACTGCAAGTCTTTCAGAGGGAGCACCATGAACCATTTATGTCCTCCTCTTCCAGACCATGGAAGGCAATCAGCAAACACTGTTTTCTGCTTAGTATTTCAAGCTACGAATATTAATACAAGTAGCAAGATCACACCACATCATACTGTTTCACAGAAGTACACACATGCCTGAACCTCCTCCTCTGTGCAGATGGTGTTTGTGACCACAAGAGGCAGAGGCCTCCCCAGGGGGAAGAAGGCTCTGCAACTGCTCCTCAGTTTCATTCATCTCTGCACACAGAGGAGGCCAGGAAGCAGTTAATGGAGCACACACCAAGGGAATCAGCCTTTCTCTGGGACTGGGCCACTCTATTTGCCATGCAAACTCATGCCTGCTTTTATCCCAGCCACTTGGAGGCTGAAGCAGGCAGATCACAATTTCAAGGTGATCCTGGACAAATTAAAAGGAAAATGCTCAAAATACAACTTAGTTTAGAAGCCCTGGGTTGAAGCATCAGTACCAGGGAAAAAAAAGAAAAGAAAGAAAGAGGAGGCTAAAGCAACTTTCAGACATACTTTACACTAGAAAAAGTAAGTAAGGGGGCCTGGGTTCACATTCTGGATCAGCCTCTAACCTCCTGAATGGTCACAGGCAAGAAACAAACCACCTTCTCCGAGCCTCAGTTACTTCCTGATGAAAATCAGTGCTGGATAAAAAAGGTTAATGATCCTTCCAGCACTCAAGTTCTGGATCAGCTTTAAACAGGCATCCAAGCTCATTTTAGAACTCTGTACTGTTACTACAAAGTGTGTATATATATTTAATGTATGTAAGTATATATACACACATTTCAGACAAAGCTACAAATTTCCATCAAAGAATGACCCATCACAGAGATTAAATATTACCTTAGAAATGCATCTGTCTAATCAAGATGATTATGGATTTATTTAGAGTAACCAACCAGATTGGTTTGCTTAAGACTTAGGAATTTCCTGGGACATGGGCAGTTTTCAGTGCTAAAATCAAGCTGTCCCCAGGCAAATCAGGACAGCCACCAACCTCAGTGATAATGAGTGGGAAAATCCATATAAATGCCGGGAAAACATGGCGCACCTCTATCTTCTATTCATCAGAAAACTCTAAATCATTCTCAGTTTTTTCACCCATAGAAAGGGAACTCAGAAACGTGGATGAAATGTACCAAGGTATCAATTATATTTTTTTAAAAAATCATAAAATCTATTTTAGGAAATACTCCATCCCACTCAACCAATATTTAAATCTAAGACGCAGCACTTTACCTTGTTATATGTTTTATTTAAGGGACCTCACTAATTTTAGATACTTGATACATTATAAATTGCTTCTCCATACCTTTCCCCTATCTCTTGCTCCCTCTGGCCTCTGCAAGCATGTGATACACACAGCATTAGATGAAGTCAATGGTCTTGACTGGAACAAAAAGAGAAATAAGAGCTGATGGCTTGGCAATGCTAACACCAAAACCCATAGCACCTGGGTCCCCCAGCCCCTCAGGAGAGGTCATGGGGCTCAGCACACATATTGGCATAAAAACTGACTCTTGCCAAGTGAATCAAGGTTGGAATGTTAACTTGATGCTGAATGGATGCAACTTAATGTTGGATTAAAACAAAGGTGGCAGTGAAACAATACAAACACTAATCATCACCCTGAGAAGTGTGAGCCCATGTGAGTGTGTGCACATGTGAAAACGTGTGTGTACAAGAAGGAGGACTTCCAGAACTGCTTCAGAAAGCAGGGGAGACAATGGCTAAATGTGCTGGAGGCAAAAGAGTTCTTGGCAATGTGTCTTTTCAGAGGCCCTCAAAACCCAGCCCAGGGCCAGGCCAGGCAGCATCAGCCCTTAGGGAGCAGGCTGCCCAGCAGGAGGTGAGCCCAGGGCAGAGAGCTCAGCTTCCTGCATTCACAGTCTTTTCCACTGCTCATAACCTGCCTGGTCTCACCTCCCTCAGGACAGCAGCTCAGTTCCATCCTCCCAGCAGCAGGAGTCCTAGTGTGCACTGTACACATGAGCTAAGTGCTGCCCCTTTGAGTCACCTCACACCATCTCCGACTCTGCACTCTTTGGAAAGTTTATCCCATGAAGCCACTCTCTGATGTCAAAATGGTTGGGGACCTCTGTGCTACTGTAATCACTTTTTAGATTCACGCACTCAGTGCTTTTGACCAGGTCTCCATGCAATTTCTCAAGAACATGAGCCCTGAGGTCTTGCGTTGAGCTTCAATGTGGGTCCGTAGTAACTAGATATTTGCTGATTAAAAAAAAAAAATTTGCTCAACCACAAACAGGGGTTTCACAATTATGAAATTACAAAGTAGTTCGATCTGCCTTCTTGCTGCACCTCAGGAAAATGATCTGTGAGGATTTCAACAAGAAAATGTGCCTTCCAGCACTGTAACCTCTCCCAAAAGAGTCAGGCAATAAAACAACAGAATTTCTGGTATTTCCTCCTTTAACTTGAAGAAATCTGTACTTAGCTGGAATTGCAATTTAGCTGGGCCTGGATTACCTGACCACTGGATCGCTTGTTTTCAGACCTATGCTTTATTTCACATCATTCACCTTGGCAGTGTTTCTCAAATATTAAGTTCCTTAAGCTCCTAAATATCTAGTGGTTTTGCCTAATAATCAGATTCCCCACACAAACCCAGAGCTTCTGTTTCAGTAGGACACATGTTCAAAAGCTGTTCCAGATCAAAGGCTTGCATCTTTAAAAAAAAAAAAAAAAAAAAAAAAAAAAAAAAAAAAAAGAAGAAAGAAAGAAAAGAAAGCCTACTCTACCATCAACCACAGGTCTCTTTTTGAGCAAAAGAATTTACTCAATAGTTCACATTTTTTTAAAGAGAAAATCCTGTGCCTATGCAGGAATAAAGTAAAATCTCATTGATTGGGGCCTGAATGGAAGCCAACAGTATTACTAGATACAAATACCACACAAATCAACTCAGGATGATGCACTGTTGTTCTTTTAGTAGACTTCACATCGTTGGCACAGTAAATATTTTAAAAGCATGAAATTCCTGAAAGCTAGCAGGGCATAGTGTCTTACTCCTACAATTCCAGCTCCCTCAGAGGCTGAGGCAAGAGGACTGAAAGTTCAAACCCAGCCTCTTTAGTCACTTAAAGAGACCCTGAATGAAAACAAAAAATGAAATGTACTGGGTATCACACCATGCAAAAGCCCTGAGTTCCATCCCCATGTTAAGAAAAGAACATCCTGAAGACTCTGAATTACACAATATAGCAGCACACAATTTTGGGAGATGTTAGGACCCTGTGGGGCAGTAGTTTTTAACCCAAAGGTACATAATCAGAATTTTCAAAGAGGCTAGGAGAGGACATTCTGGTATACTTAGGAAGTGATTCTGATAATCCCACTGAGAACTAAGCCATTTGCAGTGGAGGAGAGCAAGAAGGCAACAAGAAGCTAAGACCTCCCATGAGTCAGCGCCACCAAGGGCTGACTGGAGGAGAGCCAGATGCCAGCTCCTTACTGCACAGGGGCAGGAAGACAAGAAGAACCAATGCACCTCCCCACAGTGGGTGACCTGCTGATCTGTAGAAACACAGGCTGTGATGGCAGCTAATGAGGTAAAATGCAACTTAATGCTGGTAGTATTTAGTGTTTCACTGACTCTGCAGGTCTAAAGCCAGCAGTCTGAGTGTTTATCCAGAGGACAACAATAAGCAATGTAGCACCCAAGAAGTCTCCTTCTGAAGGTGGTAGCCATGGTTAATCCCATATTATCTTGTTTTGAAATCCTCTATCATTCTCATTGTTTTGTTTGGTTGATTTTTATCCTGTCTTATCTTATTTGACTTTGGCATAGGCATGGGCAGCTATTTCGAAGATCACAAGATACTTTATGGTAGCCATTGTGGATTCACTATTATCTTGTGTTGAAGTCCTGTATTGCATTCATTGTTATTCATTGTTTTGCTTTTTTTGGTTCTACTCTGTTGGTTTTTTTTTTTTTTTTTTTTTTTTTTCTTTCACTATGTCTGAAGGTATGGGCAGCTACTTTGATGACAAGAGGCA